ATTAATATTGATATAAATTAGCTAAATCATATTCATTACATTAATGAACTTAATCATCTCAATGTTATTATTTATATAGCCCGTGCGGGCAGCCTCTAGTCCGATATGTAAATAGTCCATGCTTTATACGGCAAACGGAGAGCGGAAAGCAGACTTAAGTAAATACAGCTTAACTGTTTTTTGTCATCAATCTTCATGGCCGAAAAAAAGAACGTTTACTGCAATATAAACAACATGTTTATCCAGTGCTGTGCTAGGGCATTTAAGCAGTCGGCTGGCCGAATAAATAACTATTTGCCTTGTTTCCTTGTTAACATTTAATTTCATTTATCTGCTGTGCAAACAAACACTCATGCTCTCTCTCTCTCTCCCGTTCGTATTCTCTCTCTCTCTCTCTCTCTCTCTTTTCTTTCCTTTGTTGGCAGGCGTTCTCACCAGCTACAATGTGCTCGTGAAAGGTCTGGACGTGCACAATACGACGCGTATATTCAAAAATATGACCATCGATGCGGCGACCCCGACTCTCCTGCTGGCCAACCTCACCACGGGCGTCACCTACTACATAGCCGTGGCGGCGGCCACACGCGTGGGCGTCGGGCCCTTCAGCAAGCCGGCTGTGCTGCGCATCGATGCGCGGACCCAATCGCTGGACACCGGCTATACACGGTGAGTGAGTGGGTCCATTGGGTCCATTGGGTCCATTGGCACTGGGTGGTCCTTTATTGTGTTACGAGCAGCTCATTTGACTGGCAAGAAGCACAATGGCTGAAGCAGCGGCATTCACATCAATCCATTAACAGCAAACGACAATGGACAGCCGGACTGCGGACAGGCCCAGAGAGCTGAACATTAAACTAAGCCTAGCCAAGGCACGTACTTCCTCTATCAGCTATCAATGCTCATGGTCTCTTTTCTCTCTCTCCCCCTCTCCTCTCTCTTTGTCTTCATTTCTATTCCATTCCAGCAGCTATCCCATCAGTCGTGATATAGCCGATGACTTTTTAACGCAGACCTGGTTTATCGTCCTGCTGGGCTCCATCATAGCCATAATTGTGTTTCTATTGGGCGCATTGGTTCTATTCAAGCGCTATCAATTTATCAAGCAGACCTCGCTGGGCAGCTTACATGGTAAGTTGGCTATCTTTGCTATTCATTTTACGTTTCATTCCTATTTGTTTTCATTGTTTCGCTCGTTTTCTATTTCCTTGTGGCTTAATTTTTGCTAACTGCAGCTTAGTCCGACTCCGCCGGAGACATTTGAAATTGATGAGGCAGTTGCTCCATTGAATAGAGAAAACGTCAGAGTCGATAGAGCTTAGCGCTTAAGCTGCTTAAATCTCTTACTCATTTGCACTTGTTAGGCCAGGAAATTGCGCAAATTATGAATTTATAAAGATGGCAAATGGATTAGGCAACAAGTCCAAAATGGCAATGTTATATGAAATATAGATAGAATAACAAATGTGTGTATAAATATTTGATTGTTCATTAGGAAGTAGTAGTAGCATGGGAAAGCTTGTTGCAACTTGGGCTAATGCGCTTCAAGTATTTGCTGATAAGTTTTTTCTTTTTTAAATAATTATAGAAAATTATTTGTAGTTATTTCATAACAAACTAGAATTAAAATTAAAGCTTATTAAAGGGTAAGCACTGGCAGCTGGGCCCTTCGGCTTGTATAGAAAAAAATATAAAATATAA